AACAAAGAGACAAATGTCACGGCTGTCATTTTGGAAGAAATAAATCAGGATATGAAGGAGTTGATAACAGGAATTATATCAAATTGAGCAGCCATAGATTATTTGCTGTTAAAAAAATCACTTGGGGTATAAACACTTTGAACGACTGTGTTGCTTTAAGATAACAGGGGCTGGGAATGTGGCTTAGTGGTAGAGTGCTTGCCTAGCATGCATTAAATTTCTCAGTACCACATAAACAGAAAAAGAAAAAAAGCTGGAAGCGGTGCTGTGGCTCAAGTGGTAGAGCGCTAGCCTTAAGCAAAAGAAGCTCAGGGACAGTGGCCAGGACCTGAGTTCAAGCCCTAGGACTGGCAAAAAAAAAAAAAAGGATGAAAAACGAGCTACAGCAGCTCAAAAAGGACTGAGCAAGTTAAAAATCAGTAAAAATCAGAACAGTTTTCCTGGCTTTTTCCCCTTCTGGACCCAATAGCTTCTATCTTAGGGATTGTTCTGCTAGCTCCCTGCCTATTTCAATGTTTATCTTCTAGAATCCAGTGTGTGATGACTCAAGCAAACATAAAAATCATGCTTTCTCAAATAATAAAACAGGGAGAATTATGGGAATCTCTGGAAAACAAACTGTGAGGTCTGACAGGGAAAGAGAATTGGAACACCATCCTCTAACAAGACTCTCAGAATGCTGGGGTTGCCCTGGAAAGATCAAACAGTCTTGGCTGTACAAAGATTCACATTTCTACTTCAAGTGTGTGTTCATCAGGCCTCAAGCTGTCTGGGAGACAAAGACTTATACAAAATGTAAGTTGTTCACTGCTTACCTAAGGAAGTCATTTATCACTTGTATACAAAATTATGTCACATGTTGGTGTTCAGTCACTTCAAAGATATTGGTACCTTCCTTTCTGCACGTACTCCCCTGTACTAAACTCAATAAATACACTTGTTAATGGGATCTTGGGCATCTGTAGCCGGCAGAACCCTTCAGGTCCCCTGGGGCCCCATAACTGTACTGCCCCCAGTTGTGGTGGATTGTGACAGCTGACTGCAGGATAGAAAACAGTACCTGTCTTTTTTTTTTTTTTTGGCCAGTCATGGGCCTTGAACTCTAGGCCTGGGTGCTGTTACTCAGCTCTTCAGCTCAAGGCTAGCACTCTACCACTTGAGCCACAGCACCACTTCTGGCTTTTTTCTGCTTATGTGGTGCTGAGGCATCGAACCCAGGGCCTCATGCATGCAAGGCAAGCGCTCTACCACTGAGCCACCTTCCCGGCCCCACAGTGCCTGTCTTGATTCATGGCTGAAGGAGAACACGAAGTGCAGTCAATACCATACTTGGCACACAGTGAACACTCAGTAAATATAAGCTGCTGATACTTTAATGTTTTTCACATTTTCTGATACTTTAATGTTATTCAAATTGGAAGGTGTTGGGCACAAGTGGCTTGCCCTTGTAATCCTAGTTACTCAGGAAGTAAGATCTGAGAATCACAGTCTAAAGCTAGCTCAGGCAGGAAAATCCATGAGACTTACCTCCAATTAACCAGCAAAAATCTAGAAGTGAAGCTGTGGCTCAAGTGGTAGAGTGCTTAAAAAAAATTAAGGCATAGTTCCCAACTCCTGAGTTCAAGCCCCAGTACTGGTACACACACACACACTCACACTCACACACACACACACACACACACACACACAAATAGGAGTGTATTATAAGTATGCTTATCTACACAAAGGCTTAAATATCCATGTATTAAAAACGTAATTATCAGTGCACTATTGTTAGGAGATGGGCTATTATGAGGTAATTAGGTCTCCTCCTGAATGAACTGTCATTACTACGGCAGTGTTTTTGTTTTGTTTTGGAGTAGGCTGCTATAAATGTGAGCTGGGCCTCCTGTTGCTTTTTTGCGTCTCCCTTCTGCCTTCACCATGAGATTCTGCTGCACAAAAACCCTCACCAGATGTTGTGCCATGCTCCTGGACTTCCCAGCCTCCAGAATTGTGAGCCAAATTGATTTCCATTTAACATAAATACCCAGCTTCAGCTGGGCCCTGGTGGCTCATGCCTATAATCCTAGCTACTCAGGAGGCTGAGATCTGAGGATCACGGTTCAAAGCCAGCCCGGGCAGGAGAGACCGTGAGACTCCTATCTCCAATAACCCCCCAGAAAACCAGAAGTGGCACAGTAGCTCAAGTGGTAGAGCGCTCGCCTTGAGCTGAAGAACAGTGCCCAGGCTCAGAGTTCAAGCCCCATGGCAGACAAAAAAAAACACAAAAAACCCCCCCATAAATACCCAGCTTCAGATACTCTTAACAGCAGAAAGCAGACTATACCTGTCTATGAGCTTCAAGGTGATCTAAGGTGAATCTAAGAATCTTACCATTTTCCAGTAAAGAAACTGGAAACACCTATTATCCTCTGCAGATTCTCTTCTCCAGCATCTCTGAATACTGACAGAAGAAGGGCCTCCTCTCAATGAAGAAGGATCCACTTTGTTCTAGGTCATGTTTCACTGTTAGTTTGAAACCTGAAAAAAGCATCCCTGTAAGTTCCACCAATATGTCAGAGCACTTTGCCTCTGGAGAAGCACAAAGCCCTGGGTATAGCAGGTAGTCAAAAAACTTACCATAGTCAGAGCTTCTCTTTCCAGTACAATTATTAGCTCTGATCATTTCAAACATTCTTTATATGGCCTCCAAATAAGTCATACGAACACAAATTCTATCAGAAAACTGCATAGCCATATAGCCTACGTAATTAATTGGTTCTCTCAAAGTTCCTGCCTTGCAAGACTGTTACTAACACAGCAATAAGCTGACATTTTCTAAAAGTTCCTTTCTGGAATTACCTCATTCTAGTAATCCCTGACTTCATCCCCCAAATGGAATTCCAGTGAATAAACATCCCTCTGGAAATAGGTCTAAAACTCAAATCCATCCTGAAACAGCAATATCTTTTCCTGAGAGTGTTCAAACGCACAAACTTGGAGTTCTTGAAAAAAATCCATTTGGAGCTGGGTGTAGCAGTACATGCCAGTTCATGCCAGCACTCTAGAGGCCAAGTCAGGAGGACTGAGGGTTTGAAGCCGGACTAGGTGACATACACAGTGAGTTTTAGGCTAGTCTAGGCTACATGGCAAGAACATGTCTCAAAAACAAAACAAAACAAAACAAAATCCTCAACCATTTGGTTAAGTTGTTTTGCAGTACTAGAAATCGGAACACAGGACCTTGTTATGCTAGGTAAGCATTCAGTTACTAAGCTATACTAACCCACCTCTGGTTAACTTTGAAATCTCAGAGAGGAAGCCTTTGTAATTACAAGAGAAAACCTAGAAATTACAAATTCAAATAGATTTCAAAATAGTAATATTATACATGGAATAAAACATCATAAAGTTAAAAATAGAGAAAAAAAGAATATTTCCTATCACATGGGCTAATTTCCTTAATAAAGGTCTCCTAATATCAACAAGAAAATGATCACAATCTTACAAAAAGACAGGGAAAAGACATGAGCAATGCTTCACAGGAAAGGCACATAAATATCTCTTTAGACATAAAAGAGGATGCATGTGGCTACTGCACCATACTTACAGACAGGAATTAGATCCATGTATATTAAAACTACTGGTCACCAATTTTTTATATGCCAGACTGACAAAGATCAAATGTTGGGTTACAGCTATGAGGGTGTAGGAAAGACCACACCAACATGTGCTAGTGGACTGCAGGAGTCTGATGATCTTCGGAAGACCCATGTACAGAGATATGGGGCTGCAAATAACTAGATGCTGAGGTCCTATCATCTACACATAGAAACGTCACTAGCATCTGCAGCTTAGGCCTGTGGCCTGTATGTTTTGCACATGGACAGAGGAGGAGAGGAGTGCATCAGAGAGGTCCCTCTAAGCACATATCCTCTAGGAGGGCCCAGACCCTGTGTCAGTAGCTATTTTTAAAGAACAAGAGCTTACTTTGTTATCATAAAAGACACTCAGAATGACTTGCATATTTTGTTGGGCTCAGAAATATTCCATGCCTTATTTGGTGCTTTTTTGGGAATCTTCCAATTGTTTATGCTTTTTCAGAAGTGAGATCACTAAATGGATTGAATCAATTTTCACTTTGCTTATGGAGCTCTTTAAATATTTAGGCCCCCAGAATGATGCAAGCAAAGGGGCAGGCATGGGCTTTGCCAAAACAGGTCTGGTGCAGTATAGAGAGGGAATTCTTTTTTCTTCTTCTGTTGTTGTTGTTGTTGCTTTTTGTTTTGTTTTTGACGCCCTCAGCCCTCACTTCCTGGACATTGTCCCAACTGTTACTTTTCATTTGGTGGAACATCTTTTCTCATTTTTCCTTCCCAGCTTGTATCATGTGTTGGTCTCTAAACCTTTTCCCCAAGGTTCAACTTTGGAGAAGTCACTGGCTCATTTTATTCATGTCCTGAACATTATTTATTTATTCCTCCCTGCTCAAGTTGGGATCACACTGACTGCTTTGCACATAGCAGCAGACTTCCTTTTCAGAGATGTCCAGGGGTCAGATCTCATCATCTCATTAGTCAGGTCCTCAGATAGGTGTGGGGGCTGTGAGCACTTGGAGTAGGGGTTCACCCGACAGTTCTCACTCTGGAATGCCGCCATCTTAGGACTACACCATAGTAAAGCCAGATCCTTGCTAGACAGGGTGATGTGGGGACTTACCACTCACCAGAGAGGGTGATATATTCAGAACCTTCTCTGGCCAGACTGTGGGTCACTGTCTCAGGAGGTATGAAGCTCTTCTCTCAACAAACCACTGCAGGAGGAGGCTTTAGTTAGAACCCAAGACAGCCTATGCCACTACTGAGAGCTATTGCCACCAACTGCCATCTTTTTGGCAGGTTTTAAAATGCTAATAAACAGGGATCTTGGCTGGGGGATGAACACCAGCCACTTATCCAGAGGAAGTAGAGGAGTGAAACCCTTGTAAACCTTTATTATTTGGAATGGAACACAACAGGTTCAGCTTATTCCATGTATTGTACATTCACTGAAGGACAACGAGGGACTCAGGCACCAGGTCCTAAACCATATCCAAGCTTCACACTCAGCTCCAACCCAGAGAGTGGGTGCTAGGGGGCATCCCAGAACCTGCCCCTGGGTCAGATGAGGAGAACGGGCTATGGCCTGAAGAGAGCACAAGAGCCACAAAAAAAGTGTGGTTCTGGGGCTATATCTTTGACCGGCCCTGCTAGTCTGCAAATGGCTCACAGCAGCAATACATTCACTGGGACACAGAATTGTGTCCAGAAAAGGGGCTCAGACATAGTTTTATACAGAAGTGCTTGACACTCCCAGGGCAGGCAGCATGGCCATGAGTGTTTTTACAGTGATTACACTCAGCCCTGCTCACACCTGGGGACTCTGCAATCAGAAATACCTTCCTAGAGCGCTCTGGAAGAGGGAGTCTTCTTTGTTCTCTTCCTACTAGTATTACCCACTAGTGGGGAGCAGACCTCCCTGTGAGTTCACTGTTCACAATGAGGATGAGACGAATATGCTCAAGTCTTTTGTCCTGGAGATTGCACTTTTTCTTCTTGGCTCCCCCAGAGCAGCCAGGCCAGCACAGGGGAGGTGGAGGTCTGGCCCTGGAGAGGGAACAGCAGGGGCTGGGAGACAAGATCTACATCACAGGGATGCACGGAAAAGCAGCCACAACCCTGCAGACAGAGGGGATGGGGACAGGGGCTGAAGGCCCACCTCAGGGTGTGCCCTTGGCCCTGTCTAGCTCATTGCCTTCTTGGAGGCAAGGCAGGGGGAATGCCTGGGGCTTCCCAGTCCCTGCCCCTGGGCCAGATGAGGCACAACAGGGCTAGTACATGGGCCCGGCAGCAAGGGATCCCACCAGGTCTCAGGCAAGTCTGTACGAGGTGCCACTGCAGGCTGAGGAAGGAGAGTCTTAGCCAGTATGGTAGCTCCTCAAGGATGGAATCGCTTCCAGGATGGAGGGGTCCATGGAGATGCAAGCTCAGAAAAGCTGGCTGGGTGGGAATTGGGGCTCAGCTGCTATGAAGATAGACTCTTCTGTCTGTTTAGGGTATCGATGTAATGAAAAATGGCCCCTAGAGCCCAGCTGGTCTCCACATTGTCAATTTTCCGAGTGAGCTTGAAAAGACAAAGGAAGAAGCACAGAAGATCATCACACACCCACCTGAGATGTGAGAGGCCAGGTGGCTTCGGTGGATAAAGGCAGCCTTATCAGAAAGCTAGAAGGTGCTCTGGACTTTTTTTGGAAGCCAGGGATGGGGTAGGGAGTGAAACTCCCAAATGGGGTCTGTAGTTCCCTATACCCAACCCCACAGAACTGAGAAGCGGGGCACCCAAGAGGTAAGTCCTTACCTTCAGCACTTTGTCCCTGGGGAAACCTAACTCCTGGAGCAGTGAGCTTATATAGGTGAGGTCCATGCATGCAAAGGGGTTGCTTTGCGGCTGGGTCTCCAGGGTCCGACACACTGAGGGAGAGATGGCTAGTTCTAGATTAAGTCCCTCCTTGCAGGGAGGGTGGGCTGCAGGCCCTGGCTCTGCCTACTTCCATCACCCACCCACGCTCCTCACTTCTGATTTATTGTCAGGACCCAACTTTGGGAGGTGACAGGCCTAGAGTACCCAGGGGCAGGCTGCAAGCCCGTTCCTACCTCCAAATAGGTCAGAATCCCAGTGCTCTTTGGACTCTGTACACTCACACGTCTATCTAGTTAACAGAATTAGGAACCAAATGCAGGAGTTCAGGGCCAGTGCCTGTCATAGGAACTGTGGGATGTCTGTCCCCTACATGGGATGGTTTCTTCTCTGCCCTCTCAGCTTGTCACCTCAGCAATCAAGGCACCACTCACCATATTTGGCTGCTATGTCAAAGTCTCCAACTACAAGGCTGCCTCCCTTCTCTGCATCTGTGGGAGGAAATAAGACATGGTCTGCAGGTGCATTCCCAAGTACATGATGCTGCTGAGACCTGAGGATGGCACCTGGGGCCCAGACCAGGAGCTCCACAGCATGGGGATGTAGTCATGGACTTTTCTCGTAGGACCCTCTCCCCTGGCTCCCAGCAGCCATACACACACAGACACAGACACACACAGACACACACAGACACACACACACAGACATACACACACACAACACACACACACACACACACACACACACACACACACACACACAGTCATATTCAAGCCCTTGATTGTGGTATCAAGTGTTTCCATGGGACACACAGGACAGGAAGCCTTAGAGGATCATCTCACCCCAACCTTACAATGTCCCACTAAAGGAGTCTCATCAGGACCTCTAGATCCCAAAATTGAGCAAACACTTGAAGCTAGGAAAAGTTGAAGAGCAGAGAGAAAATAAATGTCTCTGGGAAGTCCTGGACCCTCTAGGGAAAAAAAATAAAAAAGTCCTATAAAAGAGAAAATGAGTAGTGATCTACTGGTTTTAGAAGCGTTGGTCAGAGCCTTCTTGGGGCTCTACAGAGGGAGCAGTCCCTGACTTTGGGTGTTTGCTATGTCAGCAAATGTCACCATTAAAGATTCTCTTGAGTTCTGAAAACAGATTGTTCTTTCAGAGCCAAGAATTAACTACAGTGAGCAGTCTCAACTGCCCTTCTGAATAGCCTCGCACCTCCAGAGTTAACCCCAGGTAAGGGCTGGGATGTTGGCTCAGTGGTACAGTGCTTGCCTTGCATGCATGAGGCCCTGGGTTCGATTCCTCAGCACCACATGAGCAGAAAAAGGCTGGAGGTGGTGCTGTGGCTCAAGTGGTAGAGCGCTAGCCTTGAGCTGAAGAGCTGAGGGACAGCGCCCAGGCCCAGAGTTCAGGCTCCACGACCGACAAAAAAAAAAAACCCCAAAACAGGTAAGACCGAAGCCTCCTGATAACAGTGGTGGTGAGTGATGTGACTGCAAGGCTATCCTACACGGGAACTGCCATGTAAGCTAATTACCCCCAAGTTGCTCTGTTGGCAAAGCCTCAAGGACAACTATGGCAAAGACGATCAAAGTGAGGGGTCCTGCAGAGCCAGCCCAAAGGTGAATCCCAGGCAGACTTCTAGATCATGCTGGTGTGGTGGATCTTGGCATGGCAATGTCCACAGTCCTAGTATGGTCAGGAAAGCACTGATAGGTGTTCCTCACTGTAGCTCAGGGGCCTACGCCAAGCTGTCTCAGAAGAGGCCACCTTCTATGTTGACCATTCACACCTGCCTGGCTGTTATCCACACTCTTCCCTTCCCAGGGACAGCACAGCTAGTACAGACGCTGAGTACCTTTGAAGTCACAGGGAGCTGGAACAGTAACATCATCTGCTTTTTCTGAGAGGCTTTTATTTAGCACTAACTAGCATTGCTATTTTCACCCCAACCATTTTCTGACTTCCTCTATTTCATTTAGAAAATTTGGGTCTGGAGCCACTGATGCAACTTTGTAACTTTCATGAGTGTCCACACCATCTGCCCATAGCCAGGCTCAGCAAACTCCAACACCTTGCTCTGTCTTCCCTTCTCCTTGAGTGGAGAGGATGAGTCAGAGAGAAACCATGGCTGTGAGCCAGAGCTGCAGGATCCAGGCCAGAACCTGTTGTGGGCCTGAGGAGTGGAACAACATAAGTTAGGTCAGGGCAACTGTTCTCTTTGCTAAATGTCTCAAAAAGATAACATCTACAAAACTGTGCTGAGCAGTTCCTGTTCAGATGATGGACTTCTTTATGGCTTCTAAGGCGGTTTCTATTACCTCACGATGACAATTTGCTGCCACAGTCCCTCTGGCTAGAGCCGAGCCAGGCCTAGCCCTTACCTATGAGGCCCACGCTGGCTGCAAGGTCATAGTAGTAAGAAAAAGCATAAAAGTCCACATGCTCCACCTCTTGGGTCCTGTGTACTTTATTTCGAAGGATCTCTGACACTCTGCGGGCACACAGCTCGTGGAGGCTTGCTGCAGGAAAAGCACACAGTCAGCAATGGTCAGTGAGTAAGTCACTTGGTCCATGCCATCCCCCCCATGACCTAAGACCCTGACCTGGGTGGGAGAGTGAGGTAGGACCCAAACCCTGAGACCCACCCCGAGTCAGTGACTTGCTTGTTGCACAAGGCAATTACACCCTTCAGGAGCCAAGGCACTCCCAGTCAAGGTCCAAAGGCCCAGAGCACCATGGGGCCAGGGGAAGCCTCAAGCCCCTAGTTCTGAGGGGGAGGCCATGGCTTACTGACACCAGGAAGTCTCCCACTGGGCCCTGTGTTGCTGTCTTCACCCAGTCCTTTGCTGCTGCGTACCGTACTCAACCTTCCCAGCCCACATTGAGCTTCACCTCACAGCCAGGTCAACAGTGGGCCTTGTGGGCTACTCACACAAGCTCAAAGCTAGATGAAGGACAATGGCCAAACAAAACCCAAAGTCAACACTCTCTGGAGATCAATCAACTTCTGTGGATGTCCACTGGACAACCTCAAAAACTCATACCTCAAACCTGGATTCAACTCACCTTCCTGTCTTCGTAATGTTCCCCACGGGCTACACAGGCATGCCTTGCCCTTCAGGGCTCATTTCCTCCCACTGCCTTTCATTAGAAAAGTCCTGCTACCTCATTCAGTGAACACAGACTCTGCCCTAAGGCCTTTTATGTGCTGCTTCTTTGGCTTGGTGATCTGCTGCCTTAGATGGGGGTAACTTGTTGGCCTTTCCACATCTTGGCTAAAAGCCTGTCCATCCTGATTAACACTGCAGTCTCCTCTTGACACTCATCTCTGCCTATTTTATTGTTCTTCAAAGCACTAGTTCCTGTATTTCCACAGCCTGACTCTTCCCACTGGACCCAGCTGCACTGTCTGGGGTGTGCCCTGTCCCTAGGGCAAGGTCTGGCCCTTGGTACGTACATAGGGGACAACTAAACCAGACTGACCTGCCCAGATACTGAAGGCAGACACACCCATGCAGGTGGGAACCAGCCTGGGAGCAGTATTTCAGTATTTGTCTCAGAAGAAACCCAAGAACCCAGAGTGAACAAGACCATCAGAACACTAGGTCCCAGTCATAGGGTGGGGTCCCAGTCATAGGGTGGCAGGGGCTACATGGCCTGAGCAGGCAGAAGCAGTAGCCTCTATATTGCTATACACAAAAGTGGCCAGGCTTCTGGGCCAACAGCCCAGATAAAAGCATTTGTCACGGGGTCCTAAGGTCCTTTTCACTGGGGGCTTGATAGGGAATTGGGGCCATCTGGAGAAAAGCGTTTGGTGACAGACAAAGAAAACGTGCGGAGAGACTGTAGGAGGGAGAGAGAGAGGCAGGGAGTCTTGACTCTGACAATGACCTGTACTGCCAAGCCCCAGCAGGGTTTATGCTGCCTGCAATTGCAGGGCCAGTGTGAGCTTGTCTGGGCAAGTGGTATTTGGAAAGGGCGCAGGGGGCAGCAGGCCCTCACAGGCCTCTGAGAGACAACAAATTCACCGTACCTGCCTTCTGTCCTGCAATCCTGTATGTGACTTCAGCATGCTCCCACTCGTCTTTGAACCCAGGAGACAAACAAGGGCTGACCAACTCCTTCCCATCTTTTGCTGAAATAGAGATAAAGATGAGAGAAAGAGGAAAAAAATTGCATCTACTGCTGTGAGATGAGCTTTGAAGAGCTGGGAGGGAAGTTGAGGCAGAGTATGCTACAATAAGGACATGGGAACAGCAAGGGACCTGCCTCCTGGGGACAGCACAGTTCCATTATGCAGTGGCAGCAATGACTGCTGAGAACGTGACTACAGAACCCCCACAGATCGTATCTCCACACTTAGGGGCCACAACAACTTTATGGGAAGGCTGTCATAACCCATTTATACAGGTAACTGGTAGACTGGTGGCAGGGTCAGGTACAAATATAACTAGGTGCCACCACGCCTGATTTCATCTGTTTACCCTGTAGCACAAATGATAGGCCCACAACTAGCAAAGGAAGTTGGTGGCTGATGTCCAAGGTGATATCTACACTGTCACCCTGCAAAGCCTGGTTGTCCCCAGAGAGGGCCTTGTTACCTTCTCTGGATTCTGGCTGGATAGTGGGAAGTCATGGGAATTGACTTCTCAGAGGGCAATTCTCACAATCCTTCCCTGGGGTTGCCATGTAAGCAGCCTAGGCTACATTTCTGTGAGTGAGACCATGTGGAGGAGAGTACCGTGCACAACTCCAGCATCAGTCACTTCTCCCATAGCTACATGAGATCTGGGACCCTAGTAAAGACACTGCCCAGCCCAACACTGCTGAATTCATTTGCTGTTCATTTTTGTAGCTCTTTGGTGCTGGGGATAGAAGACAGGGCTTCTTGCATGATAGGGAAGTAGTCTGTTACTAGGTCCCACCCTAGCCATTTGCCACTCCGCCCTGGGGTGCCAGCGTTAGGTACTGCAGAGGCAAGTCCTTTCTGATACTGCATTGAGTGGAGAAGATGGAGGAAGCTAGACTGAGACTCAACATTAATGATCCAGGGGCAAAGGTTGCCTGACTTCCCATTAGCCACATAATACCTATTCCTGGCTCTGTTTGGAGGGCTGCAGGTGTTTCTGAGACAGGAACACATTCTTGGTTTACAATAAAGGAGAGCGCTATGAGGATACACATAGAACCTGACAGAATGTGAAAATTCTGCTTGAATGACCATGCCCTTGAAGGCCGCTGGGCCAGTGGAACAGGCAAAGGAAGCCTTGTGCTAAGGAACAAACAGGGCACATGTCTGGACGTTATCAGGAAAGACATGTCAACACCAGCCTCATTTCAGAGCTTCTGCAATGAGCTGCAGTGACCTCCTTTAAGTACAGATTTGACCTCCAGGGAATGAGGTCACTTGGGAAGGAATGAGGTAACTGGGAAGAGGGAGGTCACTGGGGCATGCCCTTGAAGGGGACAGTAGGACTCTGGCCCATTTCTGTCTTTCTTTCCATTCCAGATGCCATGATAATGAGCAATTTCCTCTGCCACATGGACTCAACATGACATTCTGCTTTTCTTACAGGCTAAAAAGGGACAAAGCCAACGGACAAGGACCGAAACTCTGAAACCATGAACCAAAACAAACTTGTCCTTCTTATAAGTTGTTTATCTCAGGTATTCTGGCATAGTGAGAGAAAGCTAACACACAAGTTTACTCCAATGTAGGTGACAACTATACCCAGTTATTTGGTTCCCTTAGAGTGTGTTTCAGAAATAACTTCACTACTGTCTCTTAAAAAAGAAAATGCAGTGGTAAAACACATCTTCCCCAATAGAAAACCCCTGACAAAGTCTAGAGCTCGTCCCCCCCAGACCAGCAATAGCCCCTTTGGCTGAGTAGACAAGCAGAGGGGTAGGAGAGGTATTTCCCATTCCCATGGAGGGTGAGGATACAACCTTGAGCAGTTCGTTCCACTCACCAGGTTTCCCTTCCACGCCACCCAAGATTGCCAGCCGCGCTGACATCAGTCCTAGCCCCAGGTAGCTGTGAAGGTAAGACGGGAAAGTTTGGTATCCTGCCTGGTCCCATCATGAATGGGAAAGGCAGGATCTTGGAGCAAAGCAGTTATGGGCTATCTTGCTTCTTTTAGAAGCTTCTCACAACATTTAGAGTATTTAGCTTAGTAATTCAACACAAGAGGGCTTATTGAGCTCACTGGGAAGCTGTGGAAACTTCAGTGAATATGGCAGTAAATAAAGTACAAGAGGGCTGGGAAGGTGGCTCAGTGGTAGAGCGCTTGCCTTGCATGCATGAGGCCCTGGGTTCGATTCCTCAGCACCACATAAGCAAAAAGAAAAAAGCAGGAAGTGGCACTGTGGCTCAAGTGGTAGAACACTTGCCTTGAGCTGAAGAGCTGAGGGACAGCGCCCAGGCCCAGAGTTCAGGCCCCACGACCGGACCCCAAAAAAAAAAAAAGTACAAGAATTGACTGAAGGTACCACGTGGTTCACCAAGTTCCTGCACAGTCCCTGGGCTCCTCTAAGATTTTGTGAGCCTCCTTAAAAGCAGAGCAGAGTGAACACAAAAGAAGAATGCGATTTTACTACAAATACATTTTTTAAAGGAGGGAGGAGGAACAGGGAGGAGAGGAGCCAGAAGAAGAAGGTTGCTAGGGACTCACAGCACAAAGCTTCTGAGACTGGTGATTATTCTGGGATCTAGTCCTGCAGAGAGGCAGGCGTGGGAGGCACACCAGGGGCATTGGAGCTGCCAGCATGGACAGTCAGCCTCCCCTACCCCTGGAAAACCTACCTGTAGGAATAGAGCTTGTAGGTCCTGTTAAACATCTGCAGCGCTGTCAGGTGGCCTGGTGGGGAGGTCTGAAGGGTGCCCTGGGGAGGAACATGAAGGTTACTGTGTTTCCTGTGGTCTTTTCCAATAGATTGTCCCCTCCACCCTCAATTCATTTAGTCAAACAGTAACATTCATATGGAGTTCATTGAGCTTTACATGCAATCTACTGCTGTGACAGTAGGGAACAAGCAATGAAAACACATCCAGAATGTTTCTCTTTTTGAATAGCATTTCTATTTGCTTGCTTTTTAGCAATACTGGGCCTCATGCTTATTAGGCGAATGTTCTATCACTGATCTACATTCTTAGAACTTTTTATTTCATGACAGGTGCTCTAGTTGCTCAGGCTGACCTTGAACTTGAGATTCTCCTGCCTCAGGTTCTGAAGTACTGGTATTATAGGTGTGAACTACCATATTTAGCTGCATTTTATCAATGTGACAACAATGGACCATACAGACAAGTAGCATATCATAAATTTAAGAAAGTTAATAAGAAAATGGGTGGGTAAAGAAAGCTATTTAAGATAGTAGATGGTCTTAGCTACAAGTCTTTTTTTGTGTCCTTTAGAACTACTGTATCAAAAAGGGTTGCCTACAGACTTCATAAGACTACAAAGATCTTTGTACCTTCCCTGGAACCCCACAGGGGATAGGAAGCATCCATTTCATATTTTCTGATCCAAAGGTTTTTGTTGCACCATTACAAAATGAATTTCTGTTTTGTTTTCGTTTCCCAGTCAGAAGCTTTATCTGTGAGAGAGCTCAGATGGGGAGCGCCTTACATCAGCCAAATGGCCTTCCCCGGGCAGCTGCGGGTCCCCAGTGGAGGTGGATGCAGTGCACCCCTGGCAGCCCCTGTCCTGCTCCCAGGGCAGGCCAGCTGATTACCTCAACCCGTGGAAGGAAGGTGATCTGAGTGGATCCTCCGCCCAAATCCAGCATGCCCACACTGCTCCTTCCTGGAGTTTTCAAACTGCCTAGATCACAGCGAGTAAAGACACAGCACTGTCGTATTAGGAAGCTGCCAAGAATAGTAGGGAGATCAAGAGAGGTCAAAAGCCGGGCCCTTTAGTGGAATGAAAAACAAGATAGGGAAGTAGCTGCAACTATTTAAAAAAATTGTTTAAAAGTATGCTATACGTTTAAAGGGCAAGATCAGTGGCTCTACTGGCTGTCTGATGTGAATAATGACAGGGCAGGATGACACTGACTGCCAGAGAGGGCCTGGAGTTGCTTGGAGGCCAGTCTCACCTCCCAGGAGACAGGGTATTCTTCAATATGCTGACACTGGCCATAGGGCCCCCTACATCAGTCCTGTCTCTGCTCTGCTCTCTAGAGGCATCTGAGGTGGAGATTTCTGACCTCTTAAAAGGTGAAGCCTGTGAAGAAACCTTCACACACACACCTGGGAATGATCTATGACAATAACTTCTTGCTGTATATCTTTTAACAACAGACATATCTAGTATAAGATAATTAGCATTCACATCACACTGAATATTTGAAGGCATACTGGTCTCATTCACTACCTCTCTCACAAACAAATGAGAGTGCAGGGCCTCTGGTAGATGCTCGGCAGGTGTCAGACAGATGCTGGCTAGGCTAGGAGAAAGGGCTGAGTGGGCAGGCACTCCAAGTACATATATACCTGTGAGCTCATGGCTATCTGCCAAGCCAGATGGATATCCAGCTACTCAACACCCACAGCCTACCTCTGGACCGGCAGCACTGAAAGCCGGGGGTCATGGAAACGAGGCCCCTGTGCTCCAGAAAGCCCTTTCAGGACTGAGAACAACTAGCCTTTCCCATCAAGTAAACACACACCTGTTAGGAAATTGACGGTGATCCATGCTGAGACACCTACAACAGAGAGGTACAGGCAGCATTTCAATCACTTGAGACTGTCAATTCAACACCCAGGACCATTACCTACTAGTTCCAGATTCCAGGAGCCCTACAAGAGGAACCCAAACTCATGCCCTTTAGACCACTCAGAGAAGAGCACTGTGTATAAGTGAATACAGGGACTTCTGAGAGATTATTCTAGAAGATTCCACACTACAACCTAGAACACTTTGCCATATACATGTCTTCCTCTGGTGCTTCATCCGCAGCTTCATCTTTAGTAAGTGAGACCAGTGTTCCCTCTACTCCACACAAATTCACTCTTAAGGTCATGTTTAAAAGCAAGGGCCCATGAGGAACCTTTAGTGTCTATTGTAGAATGAGTAATGCAACTTTAATGTTCTAATCGTGGCAGCAACTGGAATTCTGTCCAATTTTTTTTTAAAGCCAAAGGACACGTTTTTTAGAGACTTCATTTGTTCCAGGTTTAGAGTTTGTCAAGGTAAGAATCTACCTCTCCACACTAGCCCCCTAATACTCCTCTGGGATACTTAATTTGTAAATGGGACAATAATGTCAATTATCCTTCACCCCCGTAGTTGACTAATGAAAGAGCTCCCAGGCCTGGAATTCCCAACAGCCCTGTATCACTGCCATGTAGCGGTGTCCAGTTGCACTGTCTGTCACTCTACCTTCGTCCGTTCCGTTCATGATGGAGACACAGTCATCGCCTACCAGGAAAGGTGATGCTTTAAACACCTCTTTCACCTGAATGTAAAAAGAGACTTTTTTAAGTGGAGTAATACCGTGCACACTTGTCACCCCAGCACTCAGGAGGCAGAGGCAGATCTCAAGTTTGAAGCTAGCTTACACTATGCATCAATCGCACAACAAGCAACTCCCCAACAACAGCAACAACAATAAACTCAAATCAAGAAGAGAGGAAAGTCTGTGGTTTCTAGGTGCACCATGTGTCCAGTAGGCAGTAGCAGAACACTGAAGGCTCTGCTGTGTTCTGAGGCAAAGCTTACATTTTGCTTTAAGCTTCAACTTTCTGTGAGGGCTTCCTCAGATAATCTCCTCTGGGGTGGCTTGTCTTAGGTTGTTTTGTACTTGAAAATCTCTGGAGGAATGGATGGCCCAGGGTTAGGCTGGTTTAGCCTGCCTGGCCATGGGAAATGACCTGAAGTAAAAAGCCCTACAAGGGTAACTCAAACTTGAGGACCATTTGTGTTCCCTAGGGCACTGTTCAGTGACACATCTAGGCAGAGAGGAGGTGGAAGCCATGAACAATTGGGCATGTCCCTCTGTAAGCTCCAGTAAGTTTCAGGACAGCAGCTTCAGTGTATCTGTCCACATAAACCTTTCTCATGTCCTAAAGTCCTAATCTGAAGGACCACAACCTCACAGCTAAATATTGTAAGAACAGAGAGAGGTGGGGAGATCCTGTGTTTAGAGATCTTTCCTAATCTCAGTGGGTTGGAAGACTTATTCCTAGCCCTACTGCAGAATACTGAGTAGCTGCAGAAATATAACCCCTGAGAAGCTTTAGAGGAGGGAGGAGGCTAAAGGATCTCTTGAGCAGTCCCATCTGAGTATCAGACCAAGAGTAGGACTCAGGTACCAAGGAGATTTAGCAAAAGGCTTGGGCTGAGGTGTTAAGGCACTGAGCTCCCATGGCATTCTGACTACATCAAATTACGAGGTAGTGAATGGCATCAGTGGTTCATGCCTATAATCCTATCTACTCAGGAAGCTGAGATCTGAGGATTGCAGTTTAACAAAAGGCTATGCAAGAAAGTCCATGAAACTTTTATCTCCAATTAATCACCAAAAGCCAGAGGTGGAGCTGTGGCTCAAGTGGTAGAATGCTAGCCTTGAGCCAAAAAGCTCAGAGACAGCACCCAGACCCTGAGTTCAAGCCTCAAGCCTAGCACCAAAATCTTTTTCCTAGGTGGCAAGTCAGGATTTAATAAAGCTACCTATACACCCATGTTCATTGACTCATTATTCACTATAACCAAGTTACAGAAATAGCCCAGATGCCCTACAATCAATGAATGGATTATGAAAATGTGATATAACCAGGCACTGGTGATCATGCCTGTAATTCTAGCTACTTAGGAGGCTGAGATGTGAGAATCACAGTAGGGAGCTGGCCTGGGCAGGAAAGTCTGTGAGACTCTTATCTTCAATTAACTACCAAAAAGCCAGAAGTGGAGCTGTAGTTCAAGTGGTAGAGAACTAGCCTTGTGTACAAAAGCTCTCAGGGATAGTGCCCAGGCCCTGAGTTCAAGCCCCAGGAATAACACGTGCGTGCGTGCACGCGCGCACGCGTGCACACACACACACACACACACACACACACACACACAATGGAATTTTGTTCACCCATCAGGAAGAATAATATTCTGTCATATGTGGGGAAATGGATAAACCTGGGAAAAAATCATATTGAATAAAGTAAGCTAGGCTCAGAGAGACAAAGGACACATATATAGATTATTTCCATACTTAGATTTCTCTCCTATGTGCCTATTAGACACATAGAATATGAGAACATATTCATTGAACCCAATGGAGTTTTCACTGAGAGTAGGTTCGGCAAATATCAGTGTCTAAATCTTACAATGGATAAGGTAGCTTTGATGAACTCTTACATGCACACTTAGTTCAAGGAGCTGAGAAAGCTGAAAGCACTGGGTTACTCTTTTCGTAAGAACGGATCTAAAGCATTTTAAACTCAGCCATTCTGCTGATATAGAAACCAGCAAATATCAGCTTCTAAATCCTAGACAGTGAACGTTAGCTGGCTGAACCCTTGCATATATACTTAGTTCATTGTGTTGAGTAATCTGATAGCAGCAGAAGCTTGCTGGTTTTTTTTTTTTTTTTTTTTT